CATCAAAAGGAGTTGCAATAGCAAATACAGCACAGTATTTGCCATTGTCACTTTGTAAATAAAAGCCATCAGTGAACCATGAGAAGTCAGAGTATGAAATTTCCTGCAGGTCATTATGAGGAGTCAGGAAGGAATCCACAGGTGTTAAGCAGTTGTGAAGGACTTCATTGGTGACAGAGGGCAGAAGACTAGCAGAGTCAAGGTTAGTGTAAAAGAGTTATACGAGGAGCAGTTAACAAAAGAACTTTACAGGAGAAGGGGGCTGATTGAGAAATGTTGAGTGTGATGAGAGTTGAGGAGTTTAAACTGCATGAGTTACCAAAATGGCTAAAGGGGATCCCAAAACAATTTAGGCAGTGACCCTAATGGCGTAAGGCAAGGTGAATACTCTCTTGCCACTGGGTCCAGTTGCCAGCTATAACACCCCCAGGGTTAGTGATGGTCCTACGTTTTTGGGTGAGTCTCCAAAAGGCATTCCTTTCATTTTCATATACAGAATGAAAAATGGGAATAATTGAAAAGACCAAGAGCAGGTAGGTTCATCAAACACTCCTTGAAAGAGAGTTGAAAGGCTTTGAATGCTATGTCATCCAGGTCTTCCTATAAAAAACGGATCAAGGTTGTTATTGTTTAGTAAAACCTACCAAAGTTTGCCATAAAAAGAGAAATATGGAATCCAGTTTCGGTGATAACCAGCTAGTGAGAAAACCTTGCCGGTGACACTTAATTTGGGGTTTTGGAAAACTTATGATGCTATGACTTCTATCTGGACCTAGGTATGGTCCTCCTTCTAATAGCAGATGCTCAAATATCAAAACTGGGTTTCGGCAAACTGCAATTTTTCCTTGAGGACCTTTTGTCCCTTTAAGGCTAACAGCTTTAGCAAGTGGATGCTATCTTTCTGTGAGGAGGTTTGAGAATGACAGTGAAGAAGCAAATCATCCATATAGTGTAACCAAATAGAAACCCTAGGGAACTTTGTATCATTCAAATCAGTGTCCAATATTTGTGAAAAGTAAGAGGACTCTCAGTAAAGCACTGGCATATTACTGCCCAGGTGAACCATTCTTCCCAAGTAAAGGCAAAAGATATTGGCTAGCTTCACCCACAAATTGGAATACTAAACAATGCACTGCATAAATAACTAGAGTAAAGCATTTACTTCCAGTCAGAATGGATGTTAGTGACATATGAGGCTTAGCAGAAAGAGGGTGTCAAGGGATAACAATGTTTAGAGCTTGAAAGTCCTGGACAAAACTTCACCCTCAGCCCTTGGGTTTTTTCCCACCAGCAAAATAGGTGTATTACAGAGACCAGTACAAAGGATAATGAATCCTTGAACTTATAATCTTCTACTACGGGTTTTGGAAAACTTATGACACCATGACATAATCTTCTATTATAGCTTATGTTTTTTACGTACAAGGTGTTCATTAATTCTGGTGAGAGATTTTGAGGGATCTATTCAAATCTTGACAGGAGGTGCACTGTGCATTTTGTTAATATCAGTTGGAGATTTTTCTTATAAGAAAAGTAGTAGCTGATTGAATAGGAACAAAGCAAATCTGCTTTGAATATAAAAATTTGCTTTTTGAATATAAAAACAAACAGCCAGACTACATATAAACTCTGGCTTATTACCTGAAACAACCAACCCAGGAAGCCAACCCTTTATCTGTAGTAACTGGCCCAGGAAGCAAGTCTGCTATTACCACTCTCTCTAGTAATAATCTAGGACACCAAATAATAACCCAAAATAGCTAGGACAGGATTAATAACTGATAGCTTCCCTGATTTTGTCTCCATTTCCAACTTAGGACCAATCAGGGAGACACAAATATGTGCTCCTAACCAATCACAGTGGACACCCTTCTTATAGTTACCTTGCCTACAGCTTCCCCATGCCAACAGCTCCCAATTAGGGCATAATTTCCTCCAATTAAAAAACAAAACAAAAAGAGTGTTAAATTATCATGCAGATATGTGACAACTCAGAGAACTCACCTTCTATTTCCCAACAGCTATGTAGACTGTTCGCATGCCCAGGCCTTTCCATTTAGAGAAAAAGACACTAATGAGATGCAATTAATATCTTTTACAAATTATTTTCAAATTATCTCTTTATTTAAATCTAGTAAATTCTGAGTCCCTCTTACCCTTCTAAAATTTTACCCCATCTGTACAAGACCTGACAAAAATTTCTTGACCTTTCTGACATAACACATGTTGTTCTGTATTTTGAAATCTCTTGGTATGTCAATAGAAGCCGGGAGAGAGAGTTGGATACTTGCTATTGTCATTCATTTTCCTGTTCAGTTTCATGTGATTTTATTTCCAAATTTAAAAATTAGGAAATATATGGTTACAGAATTCTCTTAAATAATATTCGAAGTAGACACTGTTCTGATTAAGAAAAAAATAAATAACTGCCAATACGGTAAGTGAAGTGAAGTGAAAGTCACTCAGTCATGTCTGACTCTTTGTGATCTCATGGACTATAGTGTCCATGGAATTCTCTAGGCCAAAATACTGGAGTAGGTAGCCATTCCCTTCTCCAGGGGATCTTCCCAACCCAGAAATCAAACCCAGGTCTCCCGCACTGCAAGCGGATTCTTTACTAGCTGAGACACAAGGGAAGCCCACGAAACAGTAAAGAAGTTAAAAACAATTAATTAAATCATAGTTCAAAAATAAAGAAAAATAAAAACTTACAATGAGGCATAAAGATTAGAGAATAAGATAAACAATGGAAACAAACATGTAAATTACATCAACAAATAAAAATCAGTTCAACTCCTTGATTTAATTTCATAAATATTTATTGAAATCTTAGTATATGCCAGGTTTCGTTAGGTCCAAAGAGGTTAGTAGTAAACATGATAGACATAGGACCTCCACACATAAAATTCAGTTTAGTAGAGAACATATTATATACAAGTGATGTGTGTCATCAAAACAGATGCTCAGGGTGAATTAAGCACATATCAATGATTTTCTAAAGAGGTTGGGAAAATCCTTGAACACATTATCACACACCTATGTTCTTCCTCATCATCACTGGTCAGCTATGCAACATCATATTTAATACTGAAATACTAGAAAGGAACACTTTTAATATAAGAAATAAGACAAAGATGACTACTATAATGTTTTTATATATGTTCTCACCAAGACAAAAGGTACAAAAAACAATTCAATACTAGTATGAGAAAAAGCAAATAGATGAAGCATTACTTATTTCAAAGAATTTTAAAAAGATGAAAAGCTTCACAAGCATTAACTCAATCTTAATACATATTTTAGGGAATATACTGTATTTCAAGGACTACATAAAAAATAGACATAAAATGGTGAACAATAAGTTTTCATTCTAGTGAGTGAAGACAGACAAGAAACAATTGGTTTATATTATGGTGAAGACCAATATAAAAAGTAAAAATAAAGTTTCATGGTAATAAGAAAGCCAACTAAACCCTTCAATTGTAAGTGGATCAGGAAAAGTCTTCCCAGAAGATTTTAGAGCCCTATAAAGCAAAAATGTATAAATGGAAAGATCATTCTGGACACCAGAATTGTTGATTTGGAAATGTAGCAGGCTTGCTTCCCACTGTAAAGAAATTAATGTGGCTGAGACTGGAAAAGAGAAAGAAATCAGTCTTGAAAATTATCAAGACTCAATCACAGAAGGAATTAAGACTTTCCTAAGGGAACAATGGGCAAAGAAAAAGGGTTACAAACAGTGAAATGGTATCATCAACTTTGATCTCAGAAATACGTTCAAAAGTTAAAATGAATGTTTAGGAGTTATTTCAGTAATCCAGCTGACAAATCTGTGACCACAACTAGAACAGTGGCAATAGGGTTGGAGAAAAAAGCTAGATTCTATAGAGAATAAGGTCATGGAACTCACAGACTTGGAGGGGGACGGGCAATGAGAAAACAGACTCCATGACAGGTGGTGAAACATCCACTAAAACAGGGAACACAGGACAAAGGACTGTAATGTGCAGATGCCAAGTGTAAAGGTAAAGATGATAAATTCTGGGTTGGCTATGTTGAGTTTAAGATGCCTGTACAATGTTTCAACTGCAATCTAGTGATTAGAAAGAAGTAGAGTGGAGAGGCAGAATTGTGAGTCATCAGTGTATGCAAGAGAAACTAATTCTAGCTCTTTCGGATAGGTATAATTATTTAAGGTAGTAGGTAAGACAATTCCCTTCTCTTCCCGCTACTAGTAGACTCAGTGGAACAGAAACAATTTTTAAACATTTTTATTAACTCATTTATGTTGTATAAGTAGAAGTGATGAGCAGGTGACTTTACAGCCTATAATTTAAATATTGGTACAGTTAGCATGAGGTAGGGTTATCTGTACCAGTTGGTTATTCTTTTCTGAGATTTGCTGAGGTTGAATAAATTGTTACATTTAAGAGTGTGGGATCTTACCATAGAAGAATTTTCTCTAGGAACACATGACTGAAAAGATTCCTTCCTATATGTATTAACTGTTAAACATGATCTGAATTTTCTTTAGAGATAGGGAACCAGATTAGCATAAATTATTTTAAGGATATCGTCACTATTATGCCTTATGAGGAAGGAAGATAACAGTGAGTTGGATACTGTTCAAGGCAAGACAAATGAGATATTTATGGTCTGTGGTCAATTATTATTAATTCATTTAACAATTATTTTCTAGTGGCTACTGAAGCCAGGCACGTGGTTAAAAACATAGGATTCCATTTTGGGCTTCTAGAAGCTCACAGTCTATTATTTAAGACTATTATTAGTCTATTATTTAAGACTATTAATAAGTCTATTATTTAAGGCTCTTCAAAAATAAACTTAAAAGTAATAGTTCCCCTTAACTAATTGCTTCATCAGCTGAAATGTAGAGGCACACCTAGTTAATACTAAGAATTTTAATAAGCATGATAGGAAATCAAACTAATGTCAAAGAACTAAGAGGTCAACTGCCTTCAAAGAAACAAAAAGTTAATTTAATCAAGATTTCTCTCATTTTGAAACTTTGTCTGGAAAATTTTGAACACTGTCTTGGGCCCCTTTCTCCTTTTAACTGTGGTGCTATTCCTCATAGGCCTTGCTTTGGGAGATGGTGATTGACTTGGACGCGGTTTTCCAGGAAGTGGCTGGTGATTTTTACTACATATAAACTCAAGCCAGGAGACCCCTGGAGGCAACCGGTGGTAACTAAGTAACTTCGTGAACACACAGTCTGAGACGGCAGACTCTTTTGGAGGAGGAGGAGGGGGTAAGGGGGCTATGGTGGAAGAGGAAAAGGAGGAGGAAGATGAAGAGGACGAGGAGGACAAAGACGTGGAGGAGGAAGAGGACGGGAGCACGGGCTGGAACTGAGGGCTACTGTTTCTCTTCACATAGAGCAGCCAGTCTACAGCCTGGGGCCGTTGGCTTACAGCTTGGTTTTCGGGGGCTACTGTCAGCCAGGTCTTCTTCTCATTAGCTCCCTGAGTGGTATCAGATTTCGAGGTAGGGAAAATGTTTGACATCTTCTCCATTCCTTCAAGACTGTCTTCAGGGGCTTCATCGGGCTGATTTTCTTTCACAGGGAGTAAAAAAGTAGTCTCTGGTAGGGAAAGGATAAAAACTAGTTTCACCGTTATCTCCTTCTCGGGAGTGAGTTCAGGAGTTGGGATGACAAAGAGTGTGGCGGCGTGGGGGTCTTTCCTTCCTGTAAGATGGCTGCAATGAGATCTGATGCAGGAAGCACAGGCCAAGCAAACCATATAACTTGATGAAAGGCGGGGGCCAGGACGAGGGTTTGGTCTTCCCCTCATCCTTCGAAAGAGAATCTGCCTACAGAGATCCCTCTGGATTCTGGTCTTGGAGAGAGAATTGACGATTTTATTTACCACATCACTGGGGACAGTTCCACCTTTAACAATGCAGGGTTGAGTGTAATCTAAAGTCCATGGAATTTCTTTACCGGGTCCTGTCTCTTCACAATGACCAAAACTGCTTTTTCGCTGGAGTCTGGAGCCCAGTGTTAAAGCAGCTATGCTCCTTATGGAGTGCCTGGAGCTGAATAATGATTGACCTGAGACATTTGGTTTGGGATGAGGTGAGGAAAGATCTGTGGCTTTGTGTTTGTCACTTGGTAAAGTGGTGTCCTGCAATCTGGAGTGACACATTGCTGAGCTCGGGGTCCTGAAGTCATGATCAAGTGTTTTAGGCTGGAACAACGGCAAACTCTTTGACTGCTGATCAGAGTGTGGTAAAGGTGACTTTCTTGGTTTTGAATTGGACAATGGTAATCTCAGAACACTGGAACTGGACCTCAATACAGGTGGTGTCTGAAGTCTGGGGTCAGGTAATGATGAGCTCAGAGTCATTTGACTGGGCTCCAAATGCTGGGCTTCAGGTGATGTCTGAAACAAGTCATTTATTTGAGATGTAGAGTTGAGAGATGGTGAGCTCAAGCATCTTTGATTGCGCTCTAACAAAGATGACCACAGGCTGTCCAATGAAGAGGCTTTCTGAGGCTTGGACTGGGGTAATGCTGAACTAAAGGCTCTTTGATTAGGTTCCAAAGATGATGATGTCCATAGGTAATCTGGGGAAGGGTTTTCTTGATGATTGACATATAGTGATGAACTTGACACTCTTCGAATAGACTTCAGTGGAGGTGATGTCCAGAAAAGATCTAGGGAAGACGTATTCTGAGGTTTAGGAAAGGACAACTGTGAGCTCCAGTCTGTTTGACTGGGCTCTGGTGACAATGTCTTAATGAGGTCAAATGAAGATGTGTTCTGAGGTTTAGGGTGGGACAAAGGCGAGCTCAGGGCTTTCTTATTAGGCCACAAGGGAGTTCTCCGCTGGAGGTGTAGTGAAGGTGTGGCCTGATGTTTGGAGTGAGATAATGGTGATTTTAGGACCCTGTTATAGCAGCCCCCTGAAATTGTGCCCTGAGACGTGACAGAGGGCAATTCTGAGCATCTCTGTACCTTCTGGCTAGAGTTTGGTGGAGGCACTACAAGGTTATTACTATGGGATTGTACTCTGACCACAGATTGGTTATTGGGTTGATTTAATTTTTCATCTGTGTATTGACGTGCTAATGAGCTGGTTGCGGCCAGTTGGTAAGAGTGTTCTAAGGGCACAAAGTGTTGATCATAATATGCTAGGGGCACCATCTTGTGCTAGTCATAGAGGTCTTTCTGAAAGCAGTTGGCTTGCAGAGATGTTTCGGTAACTGATACAGTCTTTTAGCTGGATTCCATGGACAACAAATACTTCTAAACAAATAACTTAAGAAGTGTCAAACATCTGTCTTGTAACCTTTCTGTTAATTCCTAAATATTATAGGTGTCTCAAAATTGAGGTGTAAATGAGGTTGGAAAAAAAGTGTCACCAATTGAGATTCTTTTCTGTCTTCTCTTTAGGTTCCTAGAGTTTTTTCCTCTTAAGGAAATGACACCTGTTAACAAAACAGTGAAGAGTTTTCAGAAGAGGGCCTGATAGGGATACTAATTTTCTCAAACAATTTATAGTGACAAAAGAACTACTCCGTGTGTAACTTTTGAGTAAAATTTTCTAAACATTCAGCTGCTCACATGTAAAACAGGTAAATATAATGTTTAATTTATTGGACTAAAGACTAAATAATATACCTAAAATGTATAACAGTCCCCAAGATATAGGAGATGCTCAGTAATAGGTAATAGCTATTTGGGGTATTCTTTCAATGATTCCTTTAGTTAAAAAAAAATTTGAGATAAATTTATTGCATGAAATAATAGACTCTTAAAGTAAAATGGAAGTTCTTCTTATATGCGAGTGTGCATGCTTAGTCACTCAGTCATGTCCCACTCTACCCCAAAATCTCCAAAACAATTCAAACACCAACATATAAGAATCAATAAAGTTATTGCTCCTTGTAAAGAAATCATCTTTTCTGCATCTTCTATCTTGGTCCCTAAACTAGTCATCTAATTCAAAATCTTTGAAATTATCCTGGACAGATTCACCTTCCAAAACCATCTAGATACCAGTATCTGTTGATTTTATCTCTTTCATATATTAATTCACCTTTTTTTCTATTCAATTCTACTATTTCTTATACTCTTTTTTCTATTCAATTCCACTTATTCTCTAGGCATATCTCATCTAAACTAATATATTTATGTTTTTTTATCTTTCCGCCATAACCTTTGTCACTCTCTTCCCTTTCCTCTGCCACAAATCCAAAAGCAAACTCTTGCTGGTGAAAGACAGTTACTCCTCACCCAAAGAACTTCATTTTGCTTCTGCCTGCATGAATAGGGCTTCCTGGTGGCTCAGCAGTCAAGAATCTGCCTGCCAATGAAGGATATATGAGTTTGATGCCTGAGTGTGGAAGATCCCCTGAAGAAGGACATGGCAACCCATTCCAGTATTTTTGCCTGGAAAATCCCACGGACAGAGGAGCCTGGTGAACTACAGTCCATAGGGTCCCAAAACGTTGGACACCACTGAGCACGCAACATGCATGAATAGTAACAACTAAGTTACTTGTGATTGCTGGATTTTGTGTGTTGTGTCTTAACATCAATACTTTAAAGAGGGGAGGGAACAGCACACCCTACTGCACATATATCATATTCTAACAAACATCTATATAGTAATATAGAGTAACACCATGATCTTGATGCATGGAAAGATTTCTTAAACATAGAAAGCTATAACCATTAAAAATTGATAAACTAAAATAAAAAATTCTCAGTCATCAAGAAATGCCATCAAAGAATGGGAAAAATAAATATTTGCAATGCATATATCTGAAAAAGAGACTCATATTCATTACAACTTCTGCAAGTTACTAAGATAAGCAGTGCAGTTAGAAGGACAGGCAAAACATGGAATGAGCACTTCACAAAAGAGGCTATCCAAATACTAATGTAATATGAAAAGATGTTCAGGATTGTTAGAAACCAGTCAAATGCATATTTAAACTACAGAGACATACTACTACACATTATCAGAATGTGACTAAAATAATATGAAAACTTACAAAGCTAATAACTGGTGATTACATAGCTTAATTAGTATATTATATATATGCATACATACATATGTATATATTATATTCCACTCTTAGATACATCTCAAGAGGCATGCAATGCATGAATATTGGCACCAAAATACATATACTAGGATATTTATGGAGTATTATTCCTAATAGCTTCAAACTAGAATTAACTTTCAACCAATAATAGAATATATAAGTAAATTGTGATATATTCATTCAATAAAATACCAAACAACAATGAAAATTAACAGAAAATCTGCCCGAGAGCCAAGATGGTGGAGGAATAGGACGGGGAGACCACTTTCTCTCCTACAAATTCATCGAAAGAACATTTGAACGCTGAGCAAATTTCACAAAACAACTTCTGATCGCTAGCAGAGGACATCAGGCGCCCAGAAAAGCAGCCCATTGTCTTCAAAGGGAGGTAGGACAAAATATAAAAGATAAAAAGGGAGTCAAAAGAGCTATGGACGGAGACCCGTCCCGGGAAGGGAGTTTTAATAGAGGAAGTTTCCAATCACCAGGAAACCCGGCACTGGCGGGACTGGGGGAAGTTTTCAGCAATCTAACTGGGAGGAAAAATTAAACAAGGCCCACAGATTACGTGCCTAAAAGCAACTCCCAGCAGAAAAGTACCCCAGACGCCCGCACCCGCCAGCAACAAGCAGGGGCGGGACGGAGAGGAGCGGGCGGCATTGCTTAGGGTAAGGACCGGCCCAAAGACCCTGAGAGCAATCGGAGGGAGCTTTTTTAAACTGTGGGATACCAAGGGACAAAATTAACAGGCCCGAACACACTGCCAGCGGTTCGCAAAACAAAGGGACTGAGAAACTCCAGAGAAGAGCCGGCCCATCCCCGCTGGAGGTAGGAGGGGGGGAGGGGAAAAGGGCAAACCCAGCCCCTGAGAAGCCACCCCCTCCCACACTGCAAACAGGCCCCCGGTTCCTATCTAAAGACTTCCTGAGACCCGACTGGCGGCGCGCGCTGGGGCCGCGGAGGGAAAAAGCGCGCCGTACCCGGGGAGAGTGCGCCCAAGCCTCTGGCTGCCTGAGCTACCCGCCGCGGAGGGAAAAGGCGCGCCACACCCAGGGAGAGTGCGCCCAAGCCCCTGGCTGCCTGAACCGCTCAGGCCGGGGAAGGCACAAAACGCAGGCGCAACCGAATCTGCACTTTTGTGGAGTACCCGAAAACTGGAACCGCACTCAACGCAGGGCCCGCTCCATATAGAGCAGCCGGGAGCCTGAGCAGTGTAGATGGCGAAAGCACTGACACCCGTGAGCGGGGCAAACCCAGGGTGGCCGGAACACGGTGAGTGCTGTCCACACAGAGCGGTGTCTGTCTGCAGCGCCCCGCCCTCCCCGTAGCAGGACTGAACTGAACTGCCGAACCTAAATAAGAGATCACCTCCGCCCGCCTGTGTCAGGGCGGAAATTAGACACTGAAGAGAAGCCAAAATAGACAAAGGGAACCGCTTCAGAAAGGACCAGTGCAACAGATTAAAATCCCTGAAGGTAACACCGACTACACCAGAAGGGGCCTACAGATATCGAGAAGTGTAAGCTGGAAAGAGGAGCTATCTGAAATTGAACTGAACCTACGCTGACTGCAACAACTCCAGAGAAATTCCTAGATATATATTTTTTTTTTAATTTAAAAAAAAAATTTTTTTTTCTATCCTTTTTTTTATTTTTTCTCTTTTATTTTCTTTTAAAATTCCCTATTACTCCCCCATTACTCCTCAACTTTCATTTTCATATATTTTTACGATTTTTTTAATTAGGGAAAAAAAAATTTTTTTTCTTTTTCTTGTTTTTCTCTCCTATTTCCTTTTAAAGTCCTCTAATACTCCTCTATTATTCCTTAATTTTCATTTTCATTTCACTATAACCTTGCCAAAAAAAAAAAAGAGAGAGAGAGAGAAAAACCCTATTTTTAAATCAAACTTCATATACATTTCTAAATTTTTTTGTGTTTTTGTTTTTAAATATTGTATTTCAAAGAGTCTAACCTCTACACTAGATTTTTAATCTTTGTTTTTCAGTAGTATGTGATATAAATTTTGGTCATTTAAGAATCCAATATTCAGTTCCCATTTCTATTCAGGAGTGTGGTGATTACTCTCCCACTTTTGACTCTCTGTTTTCTACCTCGGAACACCTCTATTTCCTCCTTTCCCCTTCTCTTCCCAATCCAACTCTGTGAATCTTTGTGGGTGTCTGGGCTACGGAGAACACTTTGGGAACAGATAACTGCGTAGATCTGTCTCTCTCCTCTTGAGTCCCCTTTTTCTCCTCCTGCTCACCTCTATCACCTTCCTCCCTCTCCTATTCTTCATGTAACTCTGTGAACCTCTCTGGTTGTCTCTCACGGTGGAGAATCTTTTCACCATTAACCTAGAAGTTTTATTATCAGTGCTGTATAGTTGGAGAAGTCTTGAGACTATTGGAAGAATAAAACTGAAATCCAGAGGCAGGAGACTTAAGCCCAAATCTTGAGAAAACCAGAAAACTCCTGACTACACGGAACATTAAGGAATAAGAGACCATCCAAAAGCTTCCATACCTACACCAAAACCAACCACCACCCAAGAGCCAATAAGCTCCAGTACAAGACATACCACGCAAATTCTTTAGCGACGCAGAAACATAGACCTGAGTGTCAACATACAGGCTCTCCAAAGTCACACCGAACACATAGATCCATCGCAAAACTCATTACTGGACACTCCACTGCACTCCAGAGAGAAGAAATCCAATTCCACGCACCAGAACGCTGACACAAGCTTCCCTAACCAGGAAACCTTGACAAACCAATCGTCCAACCCCACCCACTGGGTGAAACCTCCACAATAAAAAGGAACCACAGACCACCAGAATACAGAAAGCCCACTCCAGACACAGCAATCTAAACAAGATGAAAAGGCAGAGAAATACCCAACAGCTAAAGGAACATGAAAAAAGCCCACCAAGTCAAACAAAAGAGGAGGAAATAGGGAATCTACCTGAAAAAGAATTTAGAATAATGATAATAAAAATGATCCAAAATCTTGAAAACAAAATGGAGTTACAAATAAATAGCCTGGAGACAAAGATTGAGAAGATGCAAGAAATGTTTAACAAGGACCTA